CTGGAAATAATAAAGTACTGAGAGTGAGAAAACTACTGTTTTATTAGAAACTGAAAGCAGGCTTATATAACCTTTACAACAGGAACTATTCAAAAGTCAGCAGTACATTGCAATAAAATAGGAATAACAGAAACTGATCCTAAAATATAGGAATTCCTCCTAAGGAATCTAAATTCCCTTAGGACTAGGACTTATTAGTAAAAACATGGACTGAATAAAAAACAAATAGACTTTGACTAACATTCCCTCCCTTAAGCTAATGCCTTTGTGATTAGCTTAATTTTGTGATCTTTATTACTACAAGCATGATTCGAAGCTTCTTAAACTGCTCGAGCTTCAACGGCTTCGTCATTATATCTGCAACTTGTTCTTCAGAGCAGCAAAAACTCAGTCTCACCACTTCATCATTTACCAAGTCTCTGAGAAAATGAAACCTTACTGCAATATGTTTACTTCTGCCATGAAAAACTGGATTTTTGGACAATTGAATAGTGGAACTGTTGTCACATAAAATCACAGTTTCTTCCTTTTCTTCAACTCCAAGTTGCTCCAAGATTCTTCTAAGCCAAATACACTGACAAGCACAAAGTGCTGCAGCAATATATTCCGCCTCAGTGGTGGATAGGCTCATAATAGGTTGTTTTTTCGAAGCCCGTGAAACAGCTCCAGACCCCATCATAAACACTAAACCAGAAGTGCTTCTTCGATCATCTAAATCTCATGTGTAATCTCTGTCAGAATAAGCTACAAGACTTGTTTTTCTTCTTTCATTCTTGTAGAATATCCCGTGCTCCACGGTTCCTTTTATATATCTTAAGAATCTTTTTATTACATCCCAATGTGATTCTTTTGGATTCTCCATGAACCTGCTCATCAAACTCACTCCAAACATCAAATCCGGTCGAGTTACCGTTAGATACATGAGACTTCCAATGACTTGTTTGAACATTGTAGCATCTACTTCAGTGCCATCCTCATCTTTTGATAAATTTGTTCCTGGAACAATTGGATTTCTTACTGAGTTGTTGCTTCCCATGTTGAACCTTGCTAGAACTTCTTGAGCATATCTTCTTTGAAAAATAAAAATCTCAGCTTCACATTGTATCACTTCTATTCCAAGAAAATGTCTCATCTTTCCCAAGTCAGTCATGTCAAAATCTAATTTCATCGACTTTTTAAATTCATCACACATGCTTCTATTATTTCCCGTAAAAATCAAATCATCAACATAAAGGCTAACTATCAAAATGTTACCTTCCTTTCTCTTGGTGAACAAAGTGTGTTCACTGGAGCACCTTTCAAATTTCTCTTTTGCAAAATATGCCTCAATTTTGTTGTACCAAGCTCCCGGTGCTTCTTTAAGGCCATATAATGCTTTCTTCAACCTGTAAAATTTGTCTTCTTCTCCTTTCTTGACAAATCCTTCAGGCTGCTGTAGAAATACTTCCTCCTTGAGCTCACCGTGAAGAAAAGTGCTTTTTACGTCAAGTTGATATACTTCCCATCCACGTTGAGCTGCCAAAGCTAATAGTACCCACACGGTGTCAAGTCTTGCGACTGGTGCAAATACTTCTGTATAATCCACTCCATACTGTTGTGTGTATCCTTTTGCTACCAATATTTCCTTAAACTTTTCAATTTTCCCACTTTCATTGAGCTTGGTTTTGAAAATCCATTTAACTCCAACAGGCTTAACTCCTTTTGGTGCATCAATTAGTTCCCAAGTCTTGTTCTTTTCTATTGCCTTCATCTTTGTATTCATTGCTTTTCTCCACTTCCTGCTCTTGAATGCTTCTTCAAAGAGGTAAGGATCGCTTCCATTTTCAGCCATCATCATCACCATTAAGATTTCTTCTTCCTTAGAAATATTTGTTCCCTCTTCATAATCTGCCATCCAAACTGGTTTTCTTCTATTTCTTGCTGCCCTCTCTAAAAAATCTTGTTCAACTTCATTTGTTTCATTTGCCGGTGACCCGATATCATTTAAACTGCTTGAGGATGCATCTTGATTGATATCACCATCATTTTGTGCAGACCCTTGGTCTCCACTTCCTTCTTCGTTTTCTTCCTCTTCCCAATCTAGAACATCAACTTTGCATTCTTCTTTAGTTCTTCCCCAGTCCCAGCTCTTGTCTTCTTCAAACACTACATCTCTGTTCACAATGACTTTCTTTGCAACAAGATCAAATAACTTGTAAGCTTTAGACTACTAACTCCCAAAAATACACACCTTTTGCTTTTGTCGTCTAGCTTGCTTCTCCTTTGGTCTGATACATGAGCATGCGCTACGTATCCAAAAATCCGAAAATGGTCAACTCTTGGTTTTACACCACTCCATGCTTCTTCAGGTGTTTTGTGATCTACTGCTGAAGTTGGACTTCTATTCTGCACGTGAACACACCATCTAACTGATTCAGGCCAAAATACTCTTGGAACTTGTCTCTCATTCAGTACAGCTCTTACTGCATTCATGATCGTCCTGTTTTTTCTCTCGGCGACTCCATTTTGTTGAGGAGTATATGCAGTCGTCAATTGCCTACAAATACCTTGATCCTTACAGAATTCTTCAAACTCATTAGAGGTAAATTCACCACCTCGATCAGTCCTTAAACAAGTGATGAATGCACCCACTTCTTTCTCAACATATGCCTTGAAATTTTTGAATCTACCAAATGCTTCTGATTTTTCATGTAAGAAATAAATCCAAGCTTTACGAGTAAAGTCATCAATAAAGCTTAACACATATCTCTTGTTACTATTTGAAGATTGCGTGATCGGACCATAAATATTAGCATGAACTAGCTCAAGCTTTTTCGAGGCCCTCCAGAAGCTTTTCTTTGGTATCGACTCTCTATGTTGCTTTCCAATTAGGCATGCAGTGCATATCTTCTTTGGAGACTTCAGGGAAGGTAATCCAATGACCATCTTCTTGCCTGAGAGTGTATTGAGCCCCTTGTAGTTAAGGTGTCCAAAGCGACAATGCCACAATTGAGTTTCTTTCTCTGACACCATTTTAGCTTGTAGACACATGGGATTTTTGTTTGGTGCTGCAGAAGCTGTCAAATAGAACATCCTATTTCCCCTCATACTAGTGTGCATAATTAATCCTTTATCCGGATGAAATACTTTGCAAGTTCCATTTCGAATTAAAATTGCCAATCCCTTTTCTTGGAGTTGTCCTAAACTTAGCAAATTGTTCTTAAGCTCAGGAACAAAGTAAACATCGGATATTACCTGAGTAACGCCATTCATTTGCACACGTATGCTTCATTTTTCCACAACATTCATTGTTGTATCATTTCCAAGCTTCACAATTCTGCAAAATCCTTCCTCCAATTCTGAAAACCATTTTTTGTTTCCGTCATATGATTGCTGCATCCGGAGTCTAAGAACCAAGCTTCTTCTTGTGTGGGTTGACGCGTCTCTTCATATGCCATTAATAAGAGTTTTTCTTCTTCCTCCAGCTCCGCATAATTTGCCTTCTTCTCCCCGTCAGGGCACTCATACTGAAAGTGACCCAAGTTGTGAAATTTAAAGCACTCAAAAATTTCTTTGTTTAGAGATAATCTTCCTCTTCCTCTGCCACGTCCTCCTCTGAATACGCCTCTACCTCCTCTGCCTCTGATTGGTATATCATCACTGGTTATTTTCAATACATGTTCTTCTGTTTAAAACCCCTGCATTCTTTGCTCATGAACAAGGAGGCTGCCATGCAGTTCATCAATACTCAAGGTACTCAAATCATTTGATTCCTCTATTGAGAACACAACATAATTGAACTTAGAGGTCAAAGATCTGAGTATCTTTCTAACCACCGTACTTTTCTCCATTGTTTTACCATTTGATTTCATCTTGTTTACCACATGAAGAGTCCGTCCCAAAAAGCTATCGACCTTCTCGCCTTCTTTCATGGCCAATAGCTCGAATTCTCTTCTCAATGCTTGAAGTTGTGCTCTTTTCACCTTTGTGGATCCTTGATACTTCTACTGCATGGACCTCCATATTGCCCTTGAAGTTCCCTTGTCAATAATCGTTTCCAGAATTTCTCTGTCAATGGCTTGAAACAGAAAAAAAATTACCTTCAAATCTTTAAGCTTGGCCTCTTCCACACCCTTCCTCCGCGCTTCACTTGTTGTTGTTGTTCCAATTGCTGGTGTCGGGATCCCTTCTTCTACGAGGTTCCACATCTCTTTAATTCGTAGAAAATTCTCCATCGTCATTGCCCAAAAATCATAATGACCATCGAACCTTGGAATGGCCGGTTGTACGAACTTTTTCAGATGTAGACATGTTGATCCTTTGGTCTTTCTTCTCTCACACACACACACACTTTAGTCCCTTAGTGTTTCCCCTCTCACACACTCACACACACGTTAATCCCTTAGTGTTTCCCTTCTCACACACTCACACTCCCCAAACAATCTCAGGCCCCTTGTGGAGCTCTTATGCCAATTGTTAGAACTGGAAATAATAAAAGTACTAAGAGTGAGAAAACTATTGTTTTATTAGAAAGTGAAAGAAAGCTTATATAGCCTTTACAACAGGAACTAGTCAAAAGCCAGCAGTAAATTGCAATAAAATAGGAATAACAGAAATTGATCCTAAAATATAGGAATTCCTCCTAAAGAATCTAACTTCCCTTAGGACTAGGATTTATTAGTAAAAACGTGGACTGAATCAAAAAACAAGTAGACTTTGACTAACACTGATGTGATCGTCAAATAATCAAATAACTGATCTGCTTTGAAAATTCAGTCCAACACATTTGTACCATCAAATTTGGGAAAATCCAGTTTGACAGTTCTAACCTCGAATGGAGGTTTGATGGTGTCCTTTTGAGTTAGTGACGATCCATGGGAAGAGCCTGATGTGTTTTTTCGTTGGAGAATAATATCAAATGTTGCTGTGATTTTTGAGAATTTCACTTTTATTCATTCAGATCTCGCCTTGTTGTCTGCGTCAATACGACTGATTTGTGATTGTAGCTCCGAATACAATTTTTACATAGCTTTTGTGTTGCGTTTCACCTCTGCTCCAAGCTCCTTCAACCTCGTGTTATCTGCCATGGAATCAATGAAAGCACTAGTTTGTAACAGGCTAGAGTAGAAGATTCACCAAAAAAATAAAAACAGTACTACTTTATTAATAAACAATAGTTTCACTCTATGAGAAACGCGTCAGAGGAATTTTTTATAGCAATAACTAAGTATTGAAAAAATATATATAAATAATCATGTTTCTGAGAAAATTACACAAATAACCATGTTTCAGAAAACCCCACAATGGAGGCGCCAAGTGAGATGGCGCATGCACTTTAATTTTAGAAGGAGGCGCCAAGTGAGATGGCGTCTAGGTGCAACATGTTTTCCCTAAGCCATCTCAGATGGCGTTTAAGTGCATTCAAGAGGCAATTTTTTTTTGCTTTCTATTTTAAATATGAGACAATAAGTAAACGATACAACTTCATGAAACTTCGACTTTTCATTAACAAATGAACGATTACATAATGAAGAAAAAACCATGCATATTGTGGAAAGTCTTTGTTGACTATTAACTAATTGTCAAAGATACAATCAACCATAACGAGGGGCTACCAAGACAAAGAGTATAGGATAATACTACCATCTCGTTGGTGCGATTGTGTAAAGTTTCAAGTCTTTTGTATGCCTTGATCTCATGTCATTGCAACATGTGCGTATACTCATCAAGATGCATTACTAATTATATCTCTCATTTACAAGTCTGAAACCTTACTCAACGTATACAACAATGACTTCCTAATGGTAGTAAAACCTGATTATTGACCTGCATACGACGGGGAAATAGTATGACACAACAATCAAATGCGAAGGAATAAAAAGACTCCCTTGACAAGCTAGAAAGAAAGTGAGGCTTATGTCGTTAGATCAGACACAATTGAAAAAATTGTCCAACTTGGGCTACAAGCTCGACAATATAAAAATTGTGTGGAAACCATCTTCACTTTTTTAAGTTCTAAACGTAACTTTTTTTCATTAAGAGCATTTGTTACAACAAAACATACACAAACAACAAATAAAAAACACGATAAAACGTCTAAGAAATTACAACCGTCAAAACAATTTCATTTGAGCCATACATCATCACCATTATGTCTATGTCTGCTTTGACTTCCTCCAACCAAGATTGAGTTCTTCCTGTTGCAAGCGAGGTGGTTGTTCTTCTTCTCTGGATCCTTCTAATTTGTTCTCTGACCTCGATGTCTCTCTTTAGCCATCACATCAACTCTCTCTTCAGACGCTCCATGGAGTGAATGTGCCAAAATTTCATTTTCATCGGAGGTTTGGTGGCCGAGAAAATAACGTATCCATCTCTGGTGAAAATCATAGGAGATTTCATGACACAAATAACATTGAAAAAATAAGAAGAGAGTGTGAAAAAGTGTGAAGAATGATGGAGAAATGGGTGTTTTATTTATAAAAACACAATTGCACGTAGTAGCCATCTCAGATGGCGCCTCCTTCCCTTTTTATAGTGCATGCGTCATGTCACTTGGCTAAAACAAAGTCCATGCACCAAGTGAGATGGAACCTAAGGCAAAAAGGTGAGTGCATACGCCATCTCACTTGGCGCCTCCATTGTGGGGTTTTCTGAAACCTGGTTATTTGTGTAATTTTTTCCAAAACATGGTTATTTGTGTTTTTTTTTCAATACTTGGTTATTTCTAAAATGTGTGGTTTATTCTGAGATAAATTTTTAAAAAGTTACCTGATACATGATAAAATTTCTGAGATCCAAAGTGACTCAATACTTGTATAAATAAGGTGTCTCTCAATCCATTTTTTCTACACAACACACTAAAACAAGAGAATGGATTCATATCCCTATCTTGCATTTGTGTATTTCAATGGAGAGAATCCACTAATTTTATTTAGGGTCACCGAAGAAACATCCCTCGCAAATATGATATCCAAATTGAATACTCTCCTACGCTTTCTAGAAAATCGGAGAGTTGTCAAGCTCGAGTATCAGTTACTCTCGTTTGACAGCGAATGGAATATCTATTTCATCAACTTTAAACTGAAGACGGATAAAGATTTAAAGGTCACGTGGAGTGTTTTTCTCTGTTATGAATCAAAGGGTCTGAAGTGGAAGTGAAGATTCAAAGATTCGTCGAAGATATAATTATTATGTTGCAACGTCTCGATTATAACAATATGTGATGTTGAATTTATTTAATGACTATCATTGTAATGTTAAGTGTTTTAATTTAATGTCAAGTTGATGTTGGTGTTTGTTTTGTTTTCAATTCAATGATACTGTCATGTTTCTGGTTTTGTTGATTTATAGTATTAGGTCATTTTCAAATATACATTTCTGAATTAACCTTTGACTAAAATGAAGAAATGGTTAATTTAGATACGTACATCCGAAAATAACTTAAATCAATTTCGCATATAATTAACTAGATAAAATGAGAACATTATGTATTTAAAGATGTATCTCTGAACGCACAAATATATTTTTAATTTTTTGTTAGGAATCTAAGAGAAGGTGATAGGGTATAAAGAAAAACTCCCTAACTTTATGTGTATTGCTTTTTTGCAAGGTGGCTTATATTTGAGATGAATGTGTATTTAGGGTGGTGTTTTATGATAGATTTGATTGAATGAGTAAGAATTCTTTGTTCAATATTTCGAGTATGTCGGATCATGTTTTGAGAGTAGGATAGAATTTTGTGATTTAGGAATTATAAAGATTTTAATATTCAAGTGATTTCAAGGAAAACTCTCTACATATAAACGATTTAGAAAATATGTTTATTATTTTACTTATGCAACAGTTAAAAAAAAAATCTCTAGATCCATAAATATATTAGGATAGTATAATGGACCGTCCATCTCATCTCGTCTTAAGCTCGTTAAAAAAGAGTAAGGCGGGTAAGTTCGCCAAGTAGAAATAAACATAAAAATCTAATTCCCTCCACCAAGGTGACAAGTTGACAGGCGGCGATTTATCCGCTTATTTTTTTATTTTTTAATGTTTCTTTTTTTTTAATATATTAAAAGGTTTTTTTACATTTAATTAGATTTTTCATTTATTTTTAGAATTTTTTTATAAAGCATCTTTTTAACAAAATTTACTTTAAAAAATATTGCATATATTCATAAATAAATGTATAAAATAAAACCATAAAAAATTAGACCTACTAAAATTAATTTAAAAAAATATGGGAGATACTATGAGCATTGATACATAGTATAGGAATACGCGCCTTTGTGAGAGACACACTACTTATCCACCTAAAACCTTAAGGTGATAGGTGAGTGGATTCTCCCACTTATATAGGCTTAAGTCTCCACATTCTTATCTAATGTGAGACTATTTTCTCACTTACTCACACTTGCTATATTATTCCAACAAAAATCGTATGATTTTACGATCTTAATAAAGCTTGGCGATCTTGTGAAGGCAAAAACTCGAATTTAGATGGGAACAGTGGTATCGCAGTGTAAAAACGGTTGGAGTGGTAGGATCGGCGTTCATGCCGTTTCCATTCTAAAATTTTTGAAATAAGTTTTTTTTTGCTCTAACATGTGTAGCACTTATTTCTAATACTTAATTCCACTTAATTTCTTAAAACCTTCCCAATATACTCATTATATATTCCTCTCAATTCTAAAATTTTTGAAATAAGTTTTTTTTTGCTCTAACATGTGTAGCACTTATTTCTAATACTTAATTCCACTTAATTTCTTAAAACCTTCCCAATATACTCATTATATATTCCTCTCACGCACTTTAAAAGTTTTAAAGTTTAAATATACCCCGTTTCACTCTTCTTAATCTTTTTCCCTTAAATTTGGGTGTGATTTGAATTTTTTTACTAAATTATGTTTCTTATATGAATATATATTATATGAATATATATGCAATATATATCAGTTTGTGACGATCCGTGTTACGATATTCCAATTTACGATCTTGTGACCCCTCTCGGATCCCGCATAGGATCTCGATTTTGACTACCTTGATGATTGCTTACTTTGTGATCCAAATCATTTTATGCATAAACATAATTCTAGATGAGAAGAAACCGGCCTGGCCAATTAACATATAGCAATTGCTTTAAGCTTCAATGATTTCAGTAACATTAACATTTGTCTTGAAGTAGTGATTACTGCTTAAGCCTTTGTTTCTAATGCAAACAAACTGACAGACCTTGAATCCTAACTGACCTATAAGTCCACATTAATTCATAGACACCTTCCGTAACACTAGGATAGGACAACGGAACACTTCACAACCACCAACTTTCCCCTTTCATTAATTTTTTACAAGGCATTTTCAAACTATAATTAATTTGGTCATGTTGTTTTCGTGAGTCCTATTGTCGAGAAACCAAACCAGAAGATAACCATGCCCTATTGTTTTCAATAAATTTAATTCGTTAATCCTTTTGTCAATTTTAAATCCTATTTCACTACACATTACTATTTATTATGGCATGTGTTGTGCAACAAGTATCTTTGAACTCTACAACAAAAGTATTGTTATTGTTTCTCTTCTCTCTTTATGAAACTACTTTACAACTAAACTAGGGGACTCACTTGTCGACGATGATGATTCCTCAACAAACTCTGATCTCAACTTCATCAAAAGTCGTCCAAGATAATTCAAGCCTTCTCCTTCTCGACCGCCACCCCAGAATAGATCATGCGGAGAAGCCTCAACTAGAACCGAACCAGCAGTTGAAACCAGCATAGAACTCAGCCGCGGATATGTGGAGAATTTGCATTTCAATGCTGCGTACATAACATCGATCTTCACGTTGTCCCAGTCAGGCCTTATCTGCAAGCACCATAAAATATAATGCTTCAAACATCTAAACACGCAATTTTCTCATATTAAGTCAATTCATACCAGATCAGGTCGCTGTTTTTGCATTGACCTTCCTATTCTTGCAGCTTCTTCAGGACTTTTTGAAGATTTGATCCTTTCAATACAATCCCGCGCAGCAGTATCATCCACTCCAACAAACTTGTGCGCCTAGGCATCAAACTAAATTTATAACCAATGAAATAATACTGCAATATGAAAATATAATCTACGCATGCAAAAAAGTACCTGGTAGTAATGCTCCACACTCAACCAAGTCACGCTATCGCCATTTTCATCAGGCATTTGAATGGGATGAGGAGAGAAATTTGACAATGCACCATAAGTATCCCATGATACGTAGAAAAATATGGTGCTGGATTCATAAGGTGAGACAGTAGGGTCAACAACAAAAGTCTCCTCTGGTGATGGGATTGTCGGTGCCATGTCCAGTATAGGTTGAAGAAATCCGCTAACAAGCAGGTCAGGCCCAATCTGCATTAGTGATTTATTCAACAATAAATGCATAGATTAAACATATAAATGTTTTAATAGGAATAACATAATATTAGTACTTCGAAGAAATTCGGACTTACCTGCTCATAGGAAACATCAATTAGATTTAAAGCCTGTGACATCTCAACCATCCCAAGATCACCGACAGGAGATGGTGCATTCTTTCCACCAATAATTTTAGGAGCAACAAATGCATAAACCTGATGAACATAAAGATTTCTGTTATTCTAACATTTTAAGAATATCACAAGCATTTCAATATATAGACGCAACCCTCCAAAGTCTTCTCCTACAAAACTCTTCAAAAACCAACTCTCAAACGGACCCTTGGTGAACATGACCCAATTATCCCAAAAGTTTTTGCGACCCTGCTGCTGTCTATCTAATACCTAGCAGTAAATTAGAAAGTACCACAAAGAAGTATTTTCACTATGCTAATAGTAACAAATTGAACTTCATTTAAACTTCTCCCATGGAAAATGAAAATAAAAAGGAAAAAGATAAATGAAACCTTGTGAATGACTCCAGATGAAATGGCAGATGCGGCTAATGTTCCTCCGCACTCCCAGAAAATTGAAAGATAACCCCGATCGTGAAAATACTCCATAACATTTCGGGGATTTAATATGTCAAAATCGACAACTTCAACTCCTTTAGACGCAAGCAGCTTCTGGAAACTCTTTCTTGCACCCCTCTGTGTTACAACTATGGTAGAAACCTCAGTCATGTCCCATAGGTTTGCTTCGTCAGGAAGATCGAGGGACTGAGACATTACAATACGCATTGGCATATGCCCACTTCCATGTCTCTCCGTCAGTCTTGGATCTGATTGATTTTAGAAGGAAAGTAGGTATCAAAAATCAAATTTCAAGAAACTTATAGACAATAGTGTCGTTGTCTTGATGATGATGATACTCACTGTTCCTTCGAACAGTATTTCCTCCCACAATTATTGCATTGCTTCTAGCTTGCAGCTCAAAAACTAGATTTCTAGATTTCTTGCTGCTTATCCAACATGCATGACCAGTGCTAGCAGCAATTTTACCTGTTGCACGGACGAAAAGGAAGGTAACGAGACAAGACATAGCAGCCAACAGTCTAACTAAACTTCAAGATTCTGCACTTAAAACTTACGCAAGAAAATGATTAGAATCCTCACCGTCAAGGGTCATAGCATAGTTGAGAACAGAAAAGGGAACATGCAAATGAGCTCTACAAATCAAAGGAGCGTTAACAAGAAGACATTCTTTCTGAGCATCCTGTAAATAAAACCGAAGACATGAATGCATATGTATGATAAAAAGCTAAAGGTAGTCACTATACATTACTAGTAATACACACCTCTATAAGCTTACTGGTGAGATCCTCTCCGAGAAGATCAACCTGCAATCCTTGACTTCTGAGTGCACGAACAGCATTGCCTCTAAAATGTTGCAAAGGGTGTCTCATTCCAATAACAACCCTTTGGACACCACCCTGATTTGGTTTCACAGACACTGTCAATTATCAACTACAAACAAAAACTGAAGTCAACAAACACGCACTCAAACAAAGTTGCACTTGTGATTGTGAACAACAGCACTGTTTGTCACATTGCTAGCATAAACGAATTTGGAAAAAGACAACCTGAAGCAGAGCAGATACAGCAGTGTTGTCACCGTCACAGTCGCCGGGTTCCATGTTTAGGTAAGCGGTGGCACCACGGCAGCGCTCGCCAGCTGAGGTGACGGCCTGAACTTCGGCCGGGCTAGTACCTTGCGCGTAGAGGTAGCCCTCGCCGGCGACATCTCCTGATGGAGTGGCGATGACGCAGCCGAAATTGGGATGAGGGGCAGTGAAGCCGGCGGATTTGTCGGCGAGGAGGGCGGCGCGTTGGATATAGGCGGCGTCAAGCGCGTGGCTATTACTGTCAACGGATGCTTTGCATTTGCAGACGATGGATGAGAATGAGAAAGAGTTGGCGATTGGAGTGAGACAGAACATCATTGCATAATCAACAAAACCACATCCACAACCGTGTCATGTTTTTGTTGTTCAGGACAAATTTGGTACATTGGATAACTATTTTGTTTCTTTGTGCATTGCTTTTTTTAGCTAGTGGGTGAACTATATGGTGTTTTGTTGTAGGGATAAATATATGTTGCATCCTATTTTTATGCGAAGCGAAACAATCATTAGCTTTTTATTAAAGATCACCTGAAGGATTGGTTATAATAATTCTATAATTAGTCTTTTGAGTATTTTTTGGGTTGGACCGAACGTATGTTAGATAAAAAAGGTAAAAGTAAAAGATAATTGTAAAATAAAGGAATGACAAAATGTGAAAACTGAAAATTGCTATGAATTTAATTGTGGAAGCATCCATACATTGTTAATTCTGAATTTGTTTCTCTTTTAGATGCGGGTACTTTGAGTGTAATACTCTAAATGTGAAGAAATGCGATCCCCAATACGAATACAAATATTTGCTTAAATAAAAATCTTAAGTATGTAAACGTCGAGGGTTACTAGCTTACGTTGGGACTTTGTGGATAACTGCTCTAAACTACTTTGAGCATCCCCACGTTCTTAATGGCTTGCGTGTTGATAATCGTTCCTACCACCATATATTCTTGCTCGTCGACCCCTATGTCTGTTGATGGCTGCCTCTGAATCCCATGTCCTCGTCGACTAACTCTTTTGGTCGATATCTTTCAACTCGATCGACACATCCTGTTGTTTCTTACAAACTCATACCTTTTTAGCCAAATAAATCTTACAACTTAAAGGCTTATTTCCCTAGTCGAAAATTGTTTATCAACAAATTCCCCCCAAAACGCCATGTTCGACGGAGCCTTGTCGATGGAGAACTCTGGCATTTTCTCTTCCAAGTTTTTGACCGCATGTCTTCTTTGGGATGATGTCATGCGTAATCATGATTACTTTCTGTGCAACAATTTCCTATGTCACTTCAATCATTCCTCATGATTACTCCTAGGTTTTAGGGCGTGGGTTTTTAAACAAACCCCGCTAACTATTCCACTTCTTTGGGTTGTCATCGTTGGATCACTACCACCTGTCTATGATCGACGGGTCTAATTTTCTTTAAATAACCTCTTTGGGCCAACATTACTTCTTTTCTCCTTTTATTTCTTGCTCACAGACCATTTCGTTTTTTTGCAACTTCTTACAACAAAACTAAGCATTTCCTTACCATCTTGATTTCAATGGCTGCTTCTGGTTCTGCTCCTGTTTTTACTAGTACCAACCCAATGGTTTTTGCTCTTACAAACGACGCCATTCTATCAGTTATTCTACAACCGACATCCACTGATGCTCGCACCATTGAAGCCTGGCAAAAACAAATTCTCATTCCATTCGCTATTTATGGGGAACTCTGTGTTTTTCATAGTCCGTATCTAACCCTGAAAAATGATCCCAAGAAAGTTCAGGAATTCTTTCCATGTTATACTCATGCGAAACCCCTCGCGTTTACCCAAGATTTTACGCTTGACGTGAAGTTTGTGGATTCTTCTATCAGACCATTTCGTTTTACTCCTACCTCTAGAAACTCGGCCTATTTGGCCTGGCTCGAAAGGTTCTAAGCTAAGAAAAAGTCTTTCTAGGAAGCATCCGACATTTTCGACGTGATTCAGCTGTCGACAAATGCTCACAAGATTAACCCTTGCATGATTACAATGTCGATCATCTTTTAGGAAGTTCGACCAACACCTTTCAACTTCCCTGTGGGATGTTAACACCCACCCTCTTCGACGTAGCATCCATTACTGGCTTGTCTCCCTTGGGCGAAGTTTTCGATCCTACTTTGTCGATGGAGCTTAATTTTTGCTTTGAAAGACCCGACCTCACACATTATATTCAAGACCACCATGATACTGAAAGCACACATGTTTCTGATGAAGAACACTTTTCTTTCCTCACTCTTTGGCTCTCCTACTACTTATTTTTCTCTAGATTTCTGCAGGTGGCGAAAGGTGTTATCCCTCCGGCCATTCAACTCCACGAGGGTCGGCAAATTTCTTTGGGCAAACTTCTGTTGGCATACCTTTATCATAGTCTTGGTGTTACTTCTTTCAGACTCAAAAATCTTTCTGAGAATCCCAAGGGACCACTTCTCTCAGGGCCATTTTGGCTTTTGTAACACTGGTTGAATGCTACCTTCGATCATCGACTGGATTCTCCTTTTTCTGAATCCACTGAATGCTCCTTGGCTGCCAGATTTATTGAGGGATTGAGGTTGTCACAACTTACTCCTCAAGAAGCTTCGACCAGGTATGTCTTTATGAAGTATGTTAACTTATTCATAGAGGCCTCTTCTTCTGTCGAGGCTATGGCTCCATTCGTGCGAAGAACCGTTGGCCCTACATGGTTTAAAGACCCCTTTCTTGGGGTTATCCCTAGAGCGGTTTCTAAATCAAACATTGTGTGGAGGGCGCTTTTGACCCCTACATTTTTGTCTTCTCGAATTAATATTGGATCCAAAGGCTATGGCTTTGTGATATACCATCCTAATATGGTTGTTCGACAATTTGGTCTTAGCCAAATGATACTGAAATCTCTGATCTCCCATCATCATGACATCCTTTGGTTTAGACGACAATTAGATGAAGGAGAATATTTGGAATGTCTCCATTATGTCAGAAACTCTTTTCACCTTGAACTGCCTGTGTTCAAGTTTAAATCTTCTTTTTCCTATACCAAAGAGTTCGACTATTAGTGGTCTTAGTACCAGACACAATATTTTTCTGCTACTGCCTTCTTGCAAAAGTTAATGGATGCTTTTAAGGCCTGGAAAGCCAGTCGACCTCTTGTCGACTCTGCTCAAGAGGTCCCACTTGCTGACCAGCGGAGAAACCCTGACGTCATCGTCAGCAAGGCACAAACTACCAAGGTATCCTTGTTTTCTTTCAATTTTTAAATTTTTTTGACCATCTCAATAGGTTCTTTGTGATTTCATTATATCGTTTTTAGGAGCGAAAACGGTCTTTGACCGCCAAAAATGTTGTTTCCGCACCCTTAAATAAGGATAAAGTTTCGACTACCTGGGTACACATATGAATTCTTCTCCCATATGTTATTTCCTACCGTTGTAGATTAACACCTGAAACCTTTCATACTCCACTAGGTTTCTGAAAAGAAGCCACAACCTTTCATCGACCTAGACGGTTCTGACTGTGATGTAGTGGGAGAACTGATTTGAGGTTTTACGTTTGTGTTTGCAAATGTTGCGGTTTAGCAAGAGTCGCCACCGACTTTTATTTTATCCAAAAGGAAAGGTAAAACAGCACAGGAAAGACCTTTGAGATTGTTTTTGGGTTCGGGGGGTAGATTATGAAAAGGGAAGGTGCTAGCACCCTTTTCATCCATGATTTTCCATGGGCTCTTAGTTACTTGTTTTAGATCACTTGCTTTGCTTTTTCAATTGTTTGAAATGGTGCTTTGTGTGGTTTTGAAAGTATTTTGAAAAGAGGCCTTTGTTTAGGCAATCTTTGTAATGATTCTTGTTTGTAAGAATGTATACAAAGATGTTTGTCTTTTGAAAAATGTTTCAATGTTTTGAAAGTTGTTTGGAAATTGTTTTGAAATATGTGTGTGATAGTTTGAAAATAGCAAGGATTTGTTTGAAAGAGATCAAGTAACTAGGAGTTATCTACCCTACTCAAAAGTCTTTCTTGTACATTTTCATTCCTTTAATATTGTTAACCTACCATTGTTTTGGTAGGTAACCCTATCTTTGGATATTAAACGGGACGGGCGTGGGTCATCGTATGACCATGATAACAATAATGCCAAGTATCTTAGCAAGTTTTGAGGGACTTAAGATCATTTGTTTTAGGCAACCAAGATAGTGTCATCGAGGGACTATGATCTTTTGTTTTGTATTGTTTTGCCAAGATACCTAGCATGCATACCATGGCCATTTTGTAAGGCAACCAAGTGGGTGGAACCCTAGTGGTACTTGTGTGCAAGATGTTGTCATTTTCATGCATTTGTTTGTCTTTGAATTAGGTCATGCTATTTGTTTAATTTTGTCTTATCATACAAACCCTAGTTTACTAAACATGGATATAATGCGATAAATTGCATAAAGTAAATCTAAACTATTACAACAATATTATGGGGAGGGGGAATACAAGTTTGAATGGGGATATTTGCACAAAATAAAACCCTAATTCACTATTACAACCCAATTGAATTTATTGTACAAATAAATAAATAAGCAAATATTTAAATATGCAATAAAATATAAATATGCAAAAAATATTTTGTAATTGTTTTATGCATGAGAAAATAATATTATCTAAGTCCTAAAAATGAGAGAAAAAAAATAATGTTATTATTTTTAAAAGGGGAAACCCTAGTTTTTGATTAAAAGAAAAATATTGTTTTCTAATTATTTATTTATTCATTTTTGTTCAATAATAATAATAATAATATTATGTGTAAATATTAAAAAATAAACATGTATGAAAAATAAATATTTAATGTATATAAAATATAAAACAAAAATATTAAGTATTTTTATTATTATTTACAAGTTTATTTAAGAAAATAAATTCTATTTAACCTAATAAACTATTTTTATGCCATAAAAATAATAAAAATAATAAAATAAAATGCAAAAAATTAAGAAAATATTTTTGGGATTTTTTAATGTTTAGAAAAAAAATAATAAAGTT